CTAAGAGTCACGAAGGGGTCGAAGGAAGTCTTGAGAGGCGTGAAGAAACAAGACTTGTATACCCTCGATGCTGAGGTTGTAAGTGGTTTGACAAATGTTACATCCACGAAACCTGTGTCGAAGATAAAATTATGGCACATGAAATTGGGTCATGTCAGCGAAAGAGGCTTGGTCGAATTAGGGAAGTAGAACCTGCTAGGAGGTGACAAAGTTGAAAAGTTGGAATTTTGTGAATCTTGTGTATTTGGTAAATTCTGTAGGGCGAAGGTTAACAACGACAAGCAAAGAACACATGGATCATTGGATTATATTCATACTGATATTTTAAGGCCTGCAAAGAATCCTTCACACTCAGGTGCAAGGTATTTTCTATCCATTATTGATGATTATTCCATAAAGCTATGTGTGTTCATTCAGAAGATGAAGGATGAAACTTTTGAGAATTTCAAAAGTTTGAAGGTTTTGGTCGAAACTCAAACAGGTAAAAAGGTTAAGAGGTTGAGAACCGACAATAGCCTTGAATTTTGCAACGAAGTGTTCGACAATTAATGTGTTGAGTCTATGATTGCAAGGCATAAGACTGTAGCAGGTACTCCTTAACAAAATGGCTTAGCTGAGAGATTCAACCGAACAATCCTTGAAAGGGTTAGATGCACGTTGGTCGGTGCTGGATTGAAGAAGGTGTTTTAGACAGAGGCTGTTTCGACAATATCTTACCTGATAAATAGATGTCCTTCAACTGCCTTGGGAATGAAGACACCTGAAGAATTTTAGTCGGGACATCCACCTAATATCGACAGACTGAGAGTATTTGGCTGCGTGACCTATGCTCATATTAGGCAAGACAAGATCGAACCTAAAGCTCTGAAATGCATGTTCATTGGATACCCTGAAGGAGTCAAAGTTTACAGGCTATAGTGCCTAGAGCCAGGTCACAGAAGGTGTATCTCCAGTCAAGATGTAGTTTTCAATGAAGCAGAGATGACTTTCAAGAAAACTGATGATGCTGACGAAGAGCTGGAATAGGGAGAGATTCCTCTTAAGGTGGAACATGTTGATGCTGAATTACGTACCCCAGGTGAAGTCGAAGAAGACACAGAAGATGTTGTCGAAGATGAGGAGACTAATAATGACTACCTGCTAGCAAGAGACGGGTCGAGGAGAGTCATCAAGCCACCTCAGAGACTTGGGTATGCAGATCTTATAGCTTATGCCTTAATCTTTGCAAGTGAGGTTTTAGACAAAGAACATAGAGACTATAAGGAAGTTATGAGGAGTCGAAAGAAAACTGAATGGTTGAAGGCCATGGATGATGAAATGAAATCTCTTCATGATAACAATACCTGGGAATTGATCAAAAAACCTGTTGGAGCCAGGTTAGTCAGTTGTAAATGAATTTTCAAAGTTAAGGAAGGAATCGAATGAGTGGCGTCGAAGAGATACAAGACAAGATTGGTTGCTATGGGGTTCACTCAGAAAGAAGGTGTCGACTTCATTGATGTGTTCTCTCCTGTTGTGAAACACATATCCATTTGAATGTTGCTTGCCACAGTGGCACAGTTTGACCTTGAATTGGAACAAATGGATGTGAATATTGCGTTCTTGTATGGTGATTTAGATGAAACAATCCTGATAAGGTAACCTGAAGGGTATGTCGAAAAAGGGAAGGAAGACTATGTGTGCAAGCTGAATAAATCCTTATATGGACTGAAACAATCTCCTCCACAGTGGAATAGGAGATTTGACAAGTTCATGGCACACATAAGTTTCATCAGAAGTTAGTTCGACCACTGTGTTTACTTCAGATTTTGACCTGGTAATTCATTTGTTATTTTGTTGCTCTATATGGATGATATTCTAATAGTAAGTAACAATGTCGAATATGTAATGAAAGTGAAGGTTAAAGTCAATAAGGAGTTCGACATAAAGGACCTGAAAGTTGCGTCCATGATTCTTGGGATTAACATCCGAAGAGATAGAAAATATTCAAAATTATGCTTATCTCAAGAGGCATACCTACGGAAGATTCTCGAAAAGTTTGGTATGTCGAATTCAAAGCCTGCTGTGACTCCAACAAACCCTCAATTCAAGTTGAGTATATATCAGTGTCCCAACACTAATGTTGAAAGAACTTATATGAATAACATTTCATATGCTAATATAGTGGGTTCTTTTATGTATGCTATGGTCTGTACTAGACCCGACATAACATATGCAGTAAGTCTTGTAAGCAGGTACATGACGAATCCTAGAAAGGCTCACTGACAAGCATTGAAGTGGATTCTAAGGTACATAAATGGGTATCTGAATAGAGTCCTAATTTATGGTGGAGCCTTGGGTGGAGATAGTAAAGCAGAAATTGAAGGATATGTCGACTCTGATTATGTAGGTTGTATGGATTTCATAAAATCTATTTCTGAATATGTATTCACTATGTTTGTGACAATAATCAGTTAGAAAGTAACACTTCAAATTTTCGTTGCCTTATCAACCACTAAAGCGGAATATATTGCCCTGACTGAAGCTGTGAAGGAAGCATTGCGGCTTGAAGGTTTTGCAAATGAGCTAAAACTTCAAGGTTGAGTTATCACTGTTAAATGTGATAATCAAAATACAATACACATGTCGAAGAATTCAACCTATCATGAGCGAACCAAGCACATTGATGTGAGGCTGCATTTCATCAGAGAGGTAATCGAGCGTGGATAATTCTAAGTGCTGAAGGTTTCGACTGATCATAATGCTGCTGATATGATCACCAAGATGTTGCTCAGTTGCAAGTTTTTCCACTGTATGCAGTTGATAAAGCTGCACGAAAAAAACTAGTTTCTTGATGTTATAGAGTTAGATCCAAGGTGGAAATTTGTGAGATGTTGAATCAAACTTTAGTATGGTCGAAGGGTAGCTTCTGGTTCGACAGAAATTAAGCATGAGGTAAAAGTATATTCGCATGTTGCTGTCAGAGTAATGCGTGTTGTAGTCGAAGTTTGTTCTAACATGCATTAGTCAATATTGCTAGGGTTGTTAACATGTTGAATTGTGCCTTGTTTGTAAGTCCAATTGTTTAAGTTAGCTTGTAATGGGTAGTTGTTAAAAAAAAGTCCATTAGGTTAGTGTGCTATTTTTATTATAAATATGATGCTAGTTTCTCAATCTTGGCATAAGAGAAATTAGGAAGATAAAATCTTAATTTCAAGAGAGAGAGGTTATTTTGTTATTCTTGTATACTTGTAATCTTGTTCTAAGAGTAAGGAAAGAGTAACAATTTATAATCAATCCTTGTTGTTTTACCTTATTTTATTTGTTAACCCTAACCCTTGTGTATTTCTTGATCATAAGAAACTGTTTATACTTTGTTTTAAGACATCCGATTCACAACAACCTAAATTATTAAACGACAGAAATGTGACACCACTCTTTATTCCTTTAGGTGCAACCATGTTGTAAGTTAAAGTACAAGTTAATGCAACATTGTTTTTTACTATTTACTTAACGCGACAAATCTGACCATACATTTACTATCTAAATTAACGTGACTTTATCGCGACTTTTACTATTCACCTACATCAGCAAAACTGATCATAAATATACATATTATCCATGAATCATAATACAATGAGTTTAATTCTTCCAACTAAAAGGCAACTAATGTAACACATTATCCAATATATGTTATTAATGGAATGAGTTCACATCATTTATGAAGGCGTTTTTCAATAAATTAGCTATGAAATGGATTCAGAGAATTTCACTTATTAATATAAGGTACACTAACCCAAGTATAAATGTGATTGTACCAATTTGACAAAAAAATCACTATGCAAAATCAATTTTATCATTGCTAACTGTACCAAATTCTTACCATGCAAGTTTTAATCAACTGCATCCACTTTATCAAATTCCTTTATTGAAATTGCTTACTCAAACACTTACATAAATTCGCACCACTTAAAGACCACTTTTGAAACATTACTAAACATCTATTTACATAAGAAAGTATCTTAAATCAAACATCTTCAAATCTTCCTATTACTCATAGAATCAACAAGAGTTGTTCTTCATTCTACACTTATATAAGTAATAATTACTCATAGAATCAACAAGAGTTGTTCTTCATTCTACACTTATATAAGTAATTAAAAGTATTAATGTTTAAGTAATAGTCCTACATGTCAATTTCATAAAAATGGTTTCATATGTATATGAGAAGGTGATTAGACACTTTTTCAATTGTTAAAATTTCTTTCCAAGTAAGCGGTTTACAAGTTATTCAATGTTTTTCCTGTCATTTTCAGTTTTTATATGCCAACCTTTTTACATTTTAACTTCTTCATTTCTTCCGGTCATATCTTGAAATCGATCATGTGTTTGTTAATTGGTACGATAAAGAACTAAAAAATGCACAATATTGAACAATCAATGAGTACATCGTGACATAATATATAACAAAAATTTGGATCATCAACTTATAATAAATGGTAGGAACAATATTGTGTAATACTATAATTTACCTGGTGAGATTATTCTTCAAATAGGATATTATGCTGACGATAATTTTACAATACAAAACATTATTTCAGTGTTTTCTCAAGCTGAATTGCTACAGTTTCATAATAGATATATTTTACACTGTGACATTTATGCATTGATATTACCCTATTACCTATTAATATTTCTATCACCGAAATTAATTGGGTTGTTTACTTTTTCATTGTATAAAATTACAATTTTTTTATCACTTTATATATGATTAAACTAATTATTTTTTACATTTTATTATAAAAGAAATTGTAAGGCTGACTTTCGAACTATATTAAAAGATTATAATTATAATTTTCTACACAATAATACTGAAAAGTATAAAATAGATATCTTTTGAAATAATACCGGCCTGAAAAAATGAGACACGAGATTTGAGATTGATTTCAACGTCAAAGAAGGATTTGGAGTTCCATAACCCAAGCGAGAATAAAAAATTAAGATTTAAGACAAATGAGTGAATGAGAAAAGGTTTCAGTTTCTTCATTTCTCTCTGTAGCCGTAACCATCTATTACCGCCGCCGCCACCCTCACTCCCCTCTCCCGGCGTCTCCTTCTTCTCTAGATCTCATCTCTCCACCGCCTCCGTTGCCATGCCAGGACCCGACTCACTCGATATCGAATGGCCGGCCAAGCGCGTCAGAGACACCTTCGTCAAGTTCTTCGAGGATAAGAACCATGTCTATTGGAAGTCCAGTCCCGTCGTCCCTTTCAATGATCCTACTCTCCTCTTTGCTAACGCCGGTACTCACTCTTATCATTTTCTCGTTATTGTTATTCTTTTCCACTCATACTCACAGTTTCTCAATCAGCTAGTTAGATTATGTAGATTTTTAAGAATTGAAATTGATGTTTGATTGCTTAGAGGTGAAATCTTAAATTGAAATCCGTGATATTGTTTGTTTTTGTTAGAGTTGTGCGATTTTGTTTTTGGCTTGTTGAAGCTTCCTCCGCTAGCTGAATAGTCTTTTTGTTTTTGTTTCCCCACTTTTTTAGGGTTTTGAGTTGAAATTTTAAATAGAGCTAAGAATCTCTTTGGATAAATACCTTAATTTAGTGCTTAAAATATAAGCACTTATGGTATAAGGGCATCTGCTGCTTTAATATGTGCTTTTATATGACCAAAGATAAAAGATAAAGAGCCAGTTTGTTATATGTTATAAACATTGGAAAACCCAAGTCCCACATATTAATTAAAGATAGAGCCTGGAATAGAGTATCTCTCCCCTTACAAGTTGGTTTTGTAAAGATGAGTTAGACCAAACTCTAATTCCAATTCCCATATTAATTATAGATAAAGCCTAAAAAGAGTTTATATGAGTATCTCTCATCTCACCTTACAAGCTGGCTTGGTAAGGATGAGTTATGTCAGACTCTAATTCTAATTATAAAAAACTCAATACTATAAAGATTAAGTTTTAGAGAATTTTTATTAACTCAGAAGTTGTTTTGTGTTTGTTTATTATTGAACTTTTTAATAAAGTTAGTTATAAAGCTTCCCATTTCATGGAGGAGCTAGTAAAAACAGCTTCTCATTTCATGGAGGAGCTAGTAAAATCAGCTTCTCATTTGTAGTAGTTTTTATATTTTGTTAGATTCCAAGTTTTTTAGAATCTGCAACTATCCAGTGAAAACTTTTAAAAGTGATTATTTTGTTAAAAAAATGAAAGTTTTTGTTAAAAGTTGTAACTAACAGGCTCAACATAAAGGCAAACGATTTTCATATAAGGTATAAGCCATTTTCATAAACTTTCTCAGAGAGCTTATGAAATAAGCCGAAAATAGCCTATGGACACTACATAAGCTATTTATATAAACTCTTTGAAACAGTCTCACAAATGCTTATTCTCGTAGATAAACTCAAAAAGCAATTTAAACATGTCCTAAATACTATTGGACAGGTAAATATAGTAATCTTATCATGCATATATTTTACACCGGTAATTTTCTCTTGTAATTTTTTTTACGATTATTTATGTGCCAGGGATGAACCAATACAAGCCAATTTTTTTGGGGACTGTTGATCCTAACACTGCCTTGAGCAAACTCTCTCGAGCGTGCAATACCCAGAAGTGCATTCGAGCTGGTGGTAAGCATAATGATCTTGACGACGTGGGGAAAGACACTTACCATCACACTTTCTTTGAGATGTTGGGAAATTGGTCGTTTGGCGATTACTTTAAAGAAGAAGCCATTAGCTGGGGATGGGAACTTCTAACCAAAGTATGTTTTATCAATTGGAGTTTTCTATTGTGCTTCTTGAATCATATGCCTTATGTCGTTTGTTAATAAAGGTGTATAGTTTGGTAAAATCAGTATTAGAGATGTTTTTGTGCTTTGGAGTGATATCTAAACTCTAATAGCTAGCTAGTTTAGTAGGAAGTTACTGAAGCTACCCATACTGAGCTATATTGATTGTTTCTTCTATATTAATTAGGTGTTTGTGCTTAAATAGCATGTGTAGTGTTCAAACTTTGTTAAGAACAAACACTTTTCAATTAGGAATTGCACTATCACTCACTGTAGCCAATGACCACTTCCGTTCTGTCAACTACACTGTGCCTACTACTACTGCAATGGGTTTCATATCTAAACCTGTTTTCAGATTTGGCAATGCCAATCCTAATCTGATGTGGCCTTCAGTTTCTAAATGTGGATAAACTTATTGTCTCATCCAAGGAAAAAGTAAATTAGAATGTTCTATTCAATATGAATAAGCTAGCTAAAGTTATTATGTTCTTAGGTGTTTATCTTTTGCAATATCTTTTCAATTGTAGAAATTGATAGTTATTTAGTTCCTCAGTAGATATAATGCTCAACTATATATAATTTGCTTTTACATTATCTACTATTGCATTGTAGGTTTATAAATTACCTTCAGATCGCATTTATGCTACGTATTTTGGTGGTGATGAGAAGGCTGGTCTCGCCCCTGATACCGAGGCCAGAGATATATGGTTGAAATTTTTGCCTCCTGGACGAGTGCTTCCTTTTGGCTGTAAAGTATGCTTTACAGCATTTTCTCTTGAACATTTAGAATGGAATATTTTCATAAGACATGCAAAATATATTTAATATGATACTCAGCATTCTATTTAGTAATTTGATTTGATATGATATATTTATCATCAATATATTAATATGCAATGTTGTCTTCCGTCTGGGTTTTAATTTGTATGGAAAACATTTAGATTTGATATTACATAGGTCACCATCCGTAACAAAATAAGCAAGTTTTGACCATATAAGTTGCAACAAAATATAAGCAAAAGTTGATTTTTGATACTATATTTAATGCTAGCATTACCAAAAATGCCCTTAATTTAATTGATTAAGTTATACTAATTGAAACAAGTTTTACACCATTAATGTTTGTATTGAGGGTTAAATTGGATATTGTAGTTTATTATACTTATAATTTGTGACGGATCGACTATTTGACTCTTGTTTTTTTGGGGGAAATTTTCCTATCTTTTTTGGTGAAAAAAATCTAAAGGAAAGTAGCTTTTGCTTTTAGAAAAGCTAATTTGAAGAGCTTATACATCTCTTTTTTCTTCTTCTAATTGCTCTAATCTCTTTCTTTTTGCTTTAAAATCATAGTAGCCCCACATCATTCCGCCACAAGCCCGCGTCACAAGCACAGTGAGCTACTATTGGCCACAAAACTACAACTCAAAACCAATATGTAATAGCTTTCCTGTAAACAACTACCCCTGCGGAGAGTGAAACACCGACACACTCCCTTCCTTGCCGCCACAGTCCTCCCTGGTACGTTGCATTGTGCGGTGGCTTGATCAGCCCGAAATAGTAGAACATTTTGAGTCTGTAGCAGCGCTGCAATGATGCAAGTGTTATTGTTGTTTTTTGTAGAAAAAAAAAGAATCATTAGAGACAAAAGGAAAGCCCCAACACCTCACTTTCTTTCTAATGCTATTAACTTAGCATTTTCTCCTTTCATCTGAGCTAAACCCCACCAGCCTCTGACTACCCTTCTCCTGGAGCCCCTCAACAGCTGCTATCATCTTATTTCGTCAAACCAGATCCTCTGTTTTCTGCAAAAAAATTCCCTGTCCGCGAAATAGATATGGCATCCTTTCTGCAAATTTTCCCTCTGTTTTTGTCCAACAGTAGTTGCTGCTTTCTGATTTATGCTATTAGTTTTTCTTCAACAGCCATGGTACTTCATCTAAAACATCATCAAAACGTCCAAAACACAGCTCATCCACCTCTGCATCAGCGGTTTCTTGTGCTTGAATGTTTAATTTTGACTTATTTGTTTAGTTTTTTAGAAATTGCATGTTTACAGAATAATTATGTAGTCTGGCTAAAAAATATTGAATAGTGGGATGGCTCATACTATTATGCTATTCCAGTTTTGGGCCGACCGCCCCGCACTGTTATCCGAGTTTGACAACCTAGCTTTACTTTTAAAGCTAATATTAGCTTAATAGCTTTAAAGTTAAAGTCAGGCGATGTGTTACCTTAGACTGAAATTTACCTAGATGACAATAGCTTGTTGCTTTTCTGTTGATCTATTAAAAATTACCTTCATTGTTAATGAGCGTTGCGATTACCTTATTTGTTTAGTTTTTCAGAAATTGCATGTTTACAGAATAATTATGTAGTCTGGCTAAAAAATATTTGAATAGTGGGATGGCTCATACTATTATGCTATTCCAGTTTTGGGCCGACCGCTCCACACTGTTATCCAAGTTTGACAACCTAGCTTTACTTTTAAAGCTAATTTTAGCTTAATAGCTTTAAAGTTAAAGTCAGGCGATGTGTTACCTTAGACTGAAATTTACCTAGATGACAATAGCTTGTTGCTTTTCTGTTGATCTATTAAAAATTACCTTCATTGTTAATGAGCGTTGCGATTACCTCATAAGGCTATAGTTTTAGACTCTTCATATGTTACATCTTTTATTCTATGTCTGTGCCGAATTAGTGACCTATTATGATAACAAATTAACAATATGAATAGTGGTAATAATCAATGACTAACAATCGACTTTACAGGCCTCTAATTTATAAGCTAGTTAAGTGGCATATACACTTTTTTAATAAGAGTCATCCAAAATCTCTATATTTAAAATGTTTCCGGATTGAATTGGCATATCTAACTTGGCATGTATCTTTGAATAGGACAATTTCTGGGAGATGGGTGACACTGGTCCTTGTGGGCCTTGCACTGAAATACATTTTGACAGAATAGGTAACCGTGATGCTGCGGATTTGGTTAATAATGATGATCCTACCTGCATTGAGATATGGAACCTCGTCTTTATCCAGGTATTTTACGCTTAATGTTATACAGAGCATGTTACTGCCTTTTCTCCCCACCGCCCACCCCACCCATAATAAAACTTGTGTACATGATAAGTCTGTATTAGAATCCATGTTTCTAGCATGCAGACTTTTATTCTATACCAATGAAATCTTTATGTTATATGTTTCTGTTAATCTCATCTACTTTATAAGCTGGTACTATAATCAACATGCAAACTTTTCCTATCCCCATGAAATCTGTATCTGATATGATCCTGTTTGTCACATCACAGTTCAATAGGGAGGCTGATGGCTCTCTTAAATCCTTGCCTGCAAAGCATGTTGACACTGGGATGGGTTTTGAACGATTGACCTCTATTCTACAGAACAAAATGAGCAATTATGACACTGATGTCTTTGTGCCTATTTTCGACGCTATTCAACTGGTATGGTTATCCAGGAATTAAACTGTATCATATTTCTATATATATTTAAACCAGAGTAATATTTAGTCTTGAACTGTGTGATATTTGAATTGAAATTCATGTAATATTTTGGTGGTTACATAACCCTCTTCAAGGGAATGTTTACACTTATGATAGACAGGGGAAAGAGTGGTTTGTTAGTAGGGCTCCTATTAGGCATGCCTATGTTTGGCGCAGGCCCATCATCTGTAACTGTAAACGGATTGAGGAATGATGATTTCATTGAAATATAATTCTGTTTTCCTGCCAACTCAATTACAGGCAACTGGTGCTCACCCATATTCCGGGAAAGTCGGACCTGAGGATGCTGATAAAGTAGACATGGCATACAGGGTAGTTGCAGATCACATTAGGACTCTGTCATTTGCCATTGCTGACGGGTCCCGTCCTGGTAGGATATTGTCGACTTGGTATCTTTATTGACATACTTTCCTATCGGGGAGTTGGAAATTTCAATTTTCTAGTTTCATCAAGGTTGCTGCCTTTTGCCTTCTTGTCTTGAGGAAGACATCTCCATAGACATGGTTGTTGCTTTCGAGGGAGATGCACAACGGAGATAACTTTTCATTTATTGAAGATTTTAAATTATGTATAAACTTGCTTGTTTTGCAAGCTGCAGAAAATTTATCTAAGCGAACCCCTTGTACTCCTGCTTGCTTTAAATTTTAGGATGTCCATCATTTATGACAATTTGATGATAGTGAGAGGAATGCTTACCTTAATTTTGTTATCCTTTCATATTTTGAAGGTAATGAAGGTCGCGAGTATGTTCTGAGGCGTATACTTCGTCGAGCTGTTCGGTATGGGCGTGAAGTGCTAAAAGCTGAAGAGGGTTTTTTCAATGGGTAAGTGCAGTTGTTAACTATTACATTTTTTTTGTCATATCCCTGATCTAAAGCTTTCTTACCGCATCCCACATCCTAGTTCCATTTGAATCGCTAAAACTCGTATTTATCTATTATTTCAAATTCAAATTTGATGCACTTGTTTAGGAAAAATCACATTATTACTAGTCATCTGATTAGTGGTTCCAGGCATAAATTTGTGAACATATATTCTGTTTTTAATGCGCGTTTCTGCTGTCAATGTTGGTGAATTCAGGCTTGTAAATGTTGTGGCAAATGTACTGGGTGATGTTTTCCCTGAGCTAAAACAACAGGAAGTGCACATTAGAAATGTGATTCAAGAGGAAGAGGAAAGTTTCGGTAGAACCTTAGTTAAGGTGAGGATAGACATGTATGAATACACTTTTATGGGCTGTCACTTTTGGTCTCCGTGACATAATGACAGCCATCTGAGTTCGTTTTGTTGTAAACTTGATTAAAGGAAAAGCCGTTTTTACTTCTACAGGGTATTGCAAAATTTAAGACAGCTGTTCAACACGTCCAGGGAAACATACTGAGCGGGGAGGCAAGTAGAATAATTTATTTTCAAATACATAATTTGCTTGGTTTCATCAATGTTATTTATTACCTTTACTTGTTTTTCAATTGGGTTTAATTATAAAATTTTTTTTATGTTAAAAGTACAAAATTTATGAAATTTCCAGTGTGTCTGCTATTTTGTTGTTGGAAATTCACGAGTGAAATTATTTTCATTTCTAGGCTTTAAATACTGCTTTTAGCATAGCTGTCACTGGAAGTTGATTATTTGATGCTTATTACTTTTCAGTCTCACTATGCAAGAATTTGTTACAACTTATTTATAGGTAATAAGTACACTATGGCTAACAAATTGAACATCTCTCTAGTTTTTTGCAAATAATGGGGATATTTTTGGAGAGTCTTCCTTTGATTTCTGGGTTTTATGTCATTTTAAGTTTTCAATATTATCGGTCCTCATGAAGATCATTAAATTTAAGGGCTTGTTTGGTTTTTGTATTTATTTTCTATTTTCAGAAATATTTTTTCACTTAGTTTCAATGTTCTGATTTCAAGGTTTTGTTAAAGAAACGAAGAAAACTGTTTTCTATACAAAACAATATAGCACTCCATTGTTGGACTTTCCGCCTTAATTGCGGTCCGCCCTTAGTCGCCTTAATTGCGGCACTTTGGCTTGCATCATTGCAGCCCCTAACATCTTCATTGTGTTAGCTTTGAAGGGGTGAGTGAATTTAGTCCCACATTGTTTGGAGATATGGCCTGTGTTGTGTTTATAACTGGGGGCAATCCTCACCTTACAAGCCGGTTTTGTAGGGATGAGTTAGACCCAACCCAAATTCTGAGATTCATAATCAAAACTGAAAATAGACAATGAAGATAGAAATGTTTTCTAAATCAAAACAGTCATTTAATTTAATTTTCTTCAAAACCTGGGTTGCAAATATTTTATCATGATTCATATTGACCACAAAGGTGTAGTTGAAGCACATTCATGGTTCTGCATGGTTACACATTTGTTGATTCCTTTATTTGTATTTGCAATATAATTTAATCGATACAATGTTTTCCTCCATTTCTCATACAATTTTCTCTTGCTTATAGGTAGCGTTTGAGTTATGGGATACATTCGGGTTCCCATTAGATCTGACACAGGTAGGTGTATTGCTTCACTATAGTGCGCTGTATGGATTTTTTTTTAATTATGCTTTATGTTTTTGTATTTCCTAACCTTTTCTATTTGTTAGCTTATGGCTGAAGAGAAAAAATTACAAGTTGACGTCGAAGGTTTTAATAGGGCTATGGAAGCTGCAAGGGAAAGATCAAGAAGCGCTCAAAATAAGGTATATTGTTTGCTTCAATTTCTCTTTTCTGTGCTAAATTTCTTGCTTTTTGAACTCACCCAATATATTTAAAGGATTATTAAAAAACCAATTTTGTCTTTTTTTACCCTTCTCAACTTTCTTTTGTTATTGTCAGCAAGCTGGTGGTGCTATTGTCATGGATGCTGATGCCACATCAGCGTTGCAAAAGAGAAGTATTGCTCCAACTGATGACAGTTTCAAATTTGTTTGGTTCAAGGTAGGAGTTTTTTTGTTGGCACTTTTTTATTAAAAAAATTTAATAGTTCAAACTATGAAGGGAATACAACAATTATTATTGTTCTTCAATACGAGAAATTTCGTCAGAGGAGTGAAGTATTACAAATGATGACTAAAGATACCCTATAATATATATTCACAAGTCTATCTGAAAGCATGCCCAAGGACATGGATTTTATCCAAGCACTCCACTTCAACCAATTGCACATAAGTAAATTTAAAGTTGTTTGTTTCTGTGATGTTTTATTGTGCCATTCGTTCTTGCCAAAACACTCTACTTTACTGGGCTTAAAAGATAAGCCACCCAATTTGCCTAATGGTTTTCTTTAGTGTTCCCAAATCCTAACACCTCACTAAAGGCAGTCACTTTTGATTTTCTCTATAATATTAGCCGCTATTGAAATGAGAAAAATGAATGGGAATCCATCAGGGAAGCTTTTGATCTTCTATTATATCTGTATTAGCTTGTGTTTATCGTTAAGCATTCAGATTGGACTTTGCATTCTCAGTTATCTACTTAATTTTCTCTCAGATTCAGTTAATAGTTTTTCCATTTATTTCTATTTTTCACCATTTCTTGTCTTTAGGACCATGAAAGTGTGGTAAAAGCAATATATACTGGCTCTGAGTTTGTTGATTCTGTTAATACTGATGGTGATGTTGGTGTGATTCTGGAATCTACAAGCTTCTATGCTGAACAGGGTGGTCAGGTATTCGGCATTGTTAATACTTCATATATTTATATGTGTTCTGTTGCATGTTAAATTTTATTTGCATTAATGTAATTAAAAGCTATGGTTAGAAATCATTTATTTAAAATTATCGAACCCAATCTAGTTGCTAGAATGTTTACATTTGGATTTTTAAATTTACACTTTCATCTGCAACTTTGTTATATATGTTTCAGTCATAACTTATGAAGCACGGACACCTCTAGGAGTAGGCGTGTTGCGGTGTCGGGTACTTGTATGACACCCGTACTACACGTGTCGGAAAGGTTAAAGAAGTGTCCACTAAAATATGGTTTTTTTCTTTGTTTCGACACTATTTGAATCAATGGTTGTCGCCTGTATGACACTCATAGTACATGTCAGACAATTCAAACAAGTGTTTCAAACAAAAATTTGTTTTTTTCTTTGCTTCAACACACCTTTCTACCTATTTTGGACAAATCTCACACAAATTTAAAATTGTTAAACGTGTATTTAAGCAATGTTATTAATAAAGAATTAAAGACATTAATTTTGATTAGAATATTTTCAACTTTTTTTTTAATCATAGATAGATAAATAAAGCTGAAATACTCTCTTATAAATAGCGGTATCAGTGTCCTATGTTTTGACATTATCGGTGTCGGAGTGTCCGTGTTGTGTCGTATCCCGGTTGGTGTCTGTGTCGGAGTCCGTGCTTCATAGGTCATAAATCAACATGCCTTCATAAAAATGTTATCTTCAAAACTAAAAGATGATATAATTCAGGGCTTGTTTGCTTAAAGAAAAAAGATTTTATCCTTTAAGTTTCGTTTATTGTATGTTTGATCTTATAAAATATATCTGTTGACTTATTGTTTTCAAAGCAACTTAGTTTAGCTTTTTAAAATGATCAGAAATCTAAGATTGTTCAATGTAGCAAATTTAAGGTAAAACAATTCGTAGTAATTCAAAAAAAGAGAATACTGGAGTGGTGATACAAATTAATTTCAGTACCTGGTCTAAAACATTAGTAGTATAAGATGGTTTGATATTTAAAACGGAAATTCCAATCGACTTTGCCAAAGAAGATCATCAACCAAGTTGGATGTATGTACTCTCGGATATTGGCAGAAGAAAATGTCTTGCATGAAAATTGGGACCTTAAATGAAATTTCCCTCTCCATCAGTTTGTTAGTTTAGTGTTTGTAATATGTTTCCCATTTTCTTCGGCATAGATTTTCGATACTGGGTCACTTGATTTTCAACATGCTTCATATCAAGTTCATAATGTTCAAGTTTACGGAGGTTATGTGCTTCACATTGGTAATGGGACTGGTATCTCTGTTGGAGACAAAGTAGTATGCAAGGTAAATTCGTTTACAACAGAACACCAAATTATCCTTTGATTATTTATTCCCTTCCCCCACACGCATGCACAAACACACTTAAAAATTTCTTTCCCTAGTTAGCTACTTATCTTTAATAACTTTTTGCTGCTTTGTTTTGGTTGTTTATTGATTGCTTTTGCAGGTTGATTATGGAAGACGTTCGCTTATAGCCCCTAACCATACATGCACGCACATGTTAAATTTTGCTCTTAGGGTATGTTGAAAATGCCATTGAATTAAGCACACTACTATTTCTTTTCACTGATCTGCATGGTGATAGTTGTGATTTCATATGATGAATGCAGGAAGTACTTGGCAATCATGTAGACCAGAAAGGATCTATTGTTCTTCCTGAAAAATTGAGATATGATTTTTCTCATGGTAAGACTTGTCCATTAAGGCTGTAAGAATTATGTTGATTTTAGAGTTTTTATTCACTATGCTGCATACAATGAGTAGGCAAGCCTGTCGATGCTGATTCTTTAAGGAGAATCGAGTCAATTGTTAACGAACAAATTAAAGCTGAATTGGATGTAAATGCAAAGGAGGTAACTCTTGCCGAAGCCAAGCGCATTAATGGTCTACGAGCTGTTTTTGGAGAAGTAAGCTCTGTAATTTCTTAGTACTTTAGTTCTCATCTAGTGGATCAAATTCTTCAACATTTTCCTTTAATGTAGGTCTATCCTGATCCAGTCAGAGTTGTGTCAGTTGGACAAAAAGTTGAAGATCTGCTTGCTGATCCTGAGAACGAAAAATGGTTATCTATTTCATCTGAATTGTGTGGCGGTGAATATCTTACATAGCTAATGTTTTATTTAAAACTTTCTTTCTTTTTTTCTTTCTGCTTGAATTTTATTTTTACTTGACAATTTAGGTACCCATATTTCAAATACACGAGAGGCTAAAGCTTTTGCGCTTTTAGCTGAGGAGGGAATTGCTAAAGGAATCCGTAGAATAACAGCTGTCACAACTGATCGTGCTTCTGATGCAATGAAACTGGCAGATGAATTTGAGCAGCAAGTAGATGAAGCGGCTAAGCTGGAAGGAAGTTTTCTGGAAGAGGTTGGTATTGGTTTTCTATTTGTCTAAATTCTAACAGTACTTGTGTGCTTTTCACTCTAGTTGGTTTAGCTAGTTTGCTTGAGCCCTGGAAGGTCTGGCTTGGTTTTCAATTAATGAATGAAAATGGTAAAAGCCCATTGCTAATTATTACTGATAGTTATTATTGTATCAAACTAGCCTCATAAATTTCCAAAACACGATCTGATATAAAGATCTTGAAAGTATGAAAACACTCTTAAGCAACAATTGCTAAACAACATTGAATGTTGTTTTCCTGTCCTTTGGGTCGAGGATCAATAAAGGGTTTCCACGTATTTAAATAAAATTTGATTTTTGTCTCTGTTTACACTGTTAAAATATGGGTGTTTAGAATAACTTAGCTTATTTACAGTTTATCTAGGTTTATGTTATGAGTATGACAATATCATTTGTGGAAGTGTTGAGTTTATAAAAATAGCTTGATTGGTTTATAAGCTTTCAGCTTATTTTAATCACCTCCCTTAAAATTACTGAACGGAGATCTTACTCCAACAAATAATTTTAAATCATTTCTTTGATAATTTACTTACATGATTATCTGTTGCTTGCTTTCTATCTGTCTGTGTGATTGGCACAAATTTCTTTAGCAGATAGATACACACTTCTCTTCCAAAATTGTTAATAAGCTCACTTTTTATTTCCCTTTGATCCCAGAAAGTTTCAGCTCTGAAAAGCAGCGTGGAAACATTATCAATTCCTGCAACTAAGAAAGCTGATATCAAGACCAAGATTGCCCTACTTCAGGTATTATATGTTGAATATGTTTGCATTGGAGGCTTTGTACTTTTCCCCCTGTTCCACCTTTGTACGTTTTTGATTGTTGTGCTTTCATTTCTATTTGCTCACACACGAAATTCAACATATAATTTTAATATCATAATTCTTGTAGGATCAAGTGAGAAAAGCGCAAAAGCGTGTTGCTGAAGAAAACAAACGTAAAGCTGTATTATTAACGGCTGAGAAGGCTGATCTAGCTGTTTCAGATGGGAAATCTTTTTGCATATCTCACGTTAATGTTGGCCTGGATGTTGCAGCAGTTCGCGAGGCTGTTACAAAAGTCATTGATCAGAAGGTATTTGCTGTTTCATAATTTATTAAGAATCTGGCTAGGTCTCCAACATTCGTTTGTATGGCCTTGTTATGTGTTGATTGTGATGCATAATAGGAACTCAATTTTCGTTGATGTCTGTATCACTGTATGTACAAATATGCTCCTTGAATTTGTTTTATGTAACCTTGGCAATTATATTTTCTACTAATTTCACACAATAACTGGAAGCAATGTTTACTGATAAACAGGGGTTGTCAGTGATGGTTTTTAGCACTGATGAATCTACAAACAAGGCTGTAGTTTGTGCTGGGGTGCCGGAGAAAGGAGATAAAGGTAAGCTGGATGTATCAGAGTGGCTGACTAATGCTTTGGGGCCACTGAAAGGGAGATGTGGTAAAGGAAAGGGAGGTCTTGCAACAGGACAGGTTAGTATTTACCCAATGACTAATTCTCACTTCGATTGAATAGCTCCTTTCCATATGATCACCAATATGTAAGAGTATTTTTAGAAAAAAAATTTAATGTTTTCTTGATATTTTAACACAGCATAGCTTAAGAGTGTCAAGAAAGTATGGTTGGGTTTACTCAACCCTACAAAACCGGTTGGTAAGGTGAAGACTGACCCCACTTAGAAACACATGTCAGGTCATATATTATACGATGTGAGACTCTTAATACACTCCCTCACGCTCAGAATTAGACAACTAGAGCGTGGAAATAAATGGTGGGTGGTTCGATAGCGGAAACTATAGTAGGTGGTCCACCTGATCTTAAAAGAAGCTCTGATACCATGTCTAGAAAGTGTGGTTGGGCCTAACTCAACACTACAAAACCGGTTGGTAGGGTGAAGACTGCTCCCACTTATAAACACATGTTCAGATCATATATTATCCATTGTGGGACTCTTACCAAAGAGAAATATATTTTATGAAAAGTGGGATTTTATTTGACATGGATAATAGTAAATATAAATTTTAAGTACTCTACTGATAGCACAGGGATTTTCAGTTCTGCGTATTATGTTTTTATGTTTTTTTTTCTGTCCGTAGGGAAGGACAAGAGTAAGGAAGTTTTGTGTTGGATTTGTTTCTAAAGTGTGTTCAGACAATTACTTTAAATTTCAGTGTCATCTGCTTTATGGAGTATTTTAGGCATTGCTTATCTGATTTACTTTGGAATGTTTTTTACCCAAAGGCCTTTAGTAGCTTGGTTTTTTCATTTTGAATTTCTTATGGCCAAGCATTTGTGAAATATTTCTGTCATCAAATTTTTATGTAATATGTTGCCTATTTATGAAGAAATTCTTTATCAATTCTGTGTTTAAAGATGTGTTTAGTTTATATCAAGTTGATTTGTGTAATCACCCCTTTTCAGGGCACGGATGCAGCACACGTAAACGAGGCTATGGATCTTGCAGTGAAGTTTGCATCTGTGAAATTAACTTAATGATGCATGAAGTACATTCTTCCGGTGGTGAAATTGGGATCCTGTGGTCATCTTCTGTGTAAATCTCCAAAAAGGGAAGGACACAAGGACACGTCAATGCTATTTATTAATCTGGGATGCGATGAACAAAATTCTAATCTTTAATGCTTCAATTTTTAGAGATAATTATTACAAAGTTTGCTTTGATGGCAAGGAATTTTGTTGTTTTGTCTCTAAAAAGATCACAAATTGTTCCAGTTTAATATCAAATAGCAATTGCATTGGTTTAAGGGAGTAAACGATTATACAGATATTCTGACTTTATTTTTGTACTGATTGATTCAAAAAGCACACTTTTGAACAGAGTTCTAATCTTTAATGTCTACTTAATATTTTGGGTTAATACAAGAGTGTGCCTTGATATCGAGGAATTTTTAAGATCTGTCTGAAAAGATCTCAAGGGAGAAAAATATTATAAAGATACTTCAGTTTTCTTTTTAAATAGATATTTCTAACTCTTACTCTCACAATTTTTAAGAGATTTATTGTTGGGTAAGATTTATCATAATAGTCTGGCTTAAATGTATTTTTTTATAGGATGATGCACTTGTTAATTGTTATCATGGATTCCGTCAAATTAGAATAAAAATTTTAAATTTTTTATATGGTATAAATGATACTATAATTACATATGTAAATGAGAGTTTGCAAAATATCCGAATCTTTTAATTTTAGGAATAAAAATTGTGAAATTAAAAACGTGGAGATTAAAATTACAATAAATTTTAATTTCAAATATCTGAATTTTAAAATTGGAGTTTAAATTAAATCTAATACTTTTGAGGGATTTATGAGTCTCTTATGATCACATTTTCAAATTTTAAGGCATGTGTTGGATTATTCTATGGAATTTTCAAATTTTAAGGCATGTGTTGGATTATTCTATGGAATTTCTTAAGGTATAGACAACACTTGAAAATATTAAAATATTTTAAAATTTTAGAGATATATCTTTGGATGTATCTTGGATATAGAATTTTGACTTAACATTAAAATATTTTGGAGATACATCTTTAAATATATTCTGGTGATTCACCTCTAAAAGATATTGAGGTTAAATCTCGACAAAATTCTTCTCAAACATTAATAAAAAACTTAAAACTTTCTCTAACTTTTAAATTTTTTGAAAGTTTCTTAATGCACCCTATAAGTTTCCATTATACCACACAAATTTCACAAACGTCCCTGTTTTAGAGATGCATCTCCGGATACACTCAACACACACTTAAGTAAGGTCGTTTCTGAGTTACGCTATTTTTTTGTTTACTTCATCTCGAAGATGCGTCTCCAAAATATTTTCGTAGTTACATTTTCGAAGGCACAGTAGCATATTCAACACCAAGTAATTTTTCCGAATGAAATTAACATTCATAACATAAAATAAGCATTACATAGATGATTTCAACATAAAATGCAACATTACACTTCAATATTCAGATGGACGCTTCAACATTTTTGCAATATCTTCGACGATCTTGAAATCGTCGATTCTAACTGGGGCAAAATTTTTGTTTTGAAACGAAAACATTGGAGTCGTTTAGTCGGGAAAAAATTGTCAACATGTTTAAAATATGAAGGAGACTGTGTAGTCGAATTGTCATTCGGTGAAAGCTTCATTTTCTTCGGAGCACCTTTTGTTTTTACGGGTTGAGAAGGCGGTTTCATGTCGATGATTTTTTGATAGGCAATCTTCCTCAATTGTTCTAGTATGTGGAGTTTCATGTTGTCATCAGCTTTCAAAAATCTCTTTTGTATCACTTCGCATTCGGTCAAAATAGAGATATTCGATTTACCGTTATTCATGCATCCATCATCATCAAACCTAAGTCTCTTTCAATGAGTACAAACCTCGTCCATTCTTATTAGGTTACTAAGTTTCACCTTTTTAACAATAACATAAGCACATGAGAGACCATATGTTTTCACAATTGTGCATCCACACTTTGCGCTATCGAAGCCTAAATTATCAGTTTGTTTTGCCTAGTGAAAAATACAGTTCGTACCTACCCTAGAAATGTTACCAACACTGAGAATATAGAGTGCTATCTTTAAATCTGTGTTAAAAAACTGTGCTGCTCCGACCAAATATTGTTTGTATCTCATTATGCTGATTTTGAATCATGTGGTTCACAAAGTCCTAGTCTTTACACAAATCGCCTTTACTATTTCCTAACCAATTTTTTAAAGTAGCATGGGCAGACTCAACTCTGTTAGTTGTTGTATTTCTAAGGTGTTTAACCTTATCAGTCCAAACAGAAACAATTTTCTCATTCACCTGGTCAAGAATCATGCTTTCAACATATTTCAACAAATCAGGATACTTTTCACACACTTTCCTAAAATACATAACATAATTGACATATATTTCTTTTGTGGAAGAATTTATTATGCGATTTCATACATCCATTATTTTTTCAACAACCACACTCACCTTCACCATTTTTTCATCTTCGGACTCTATTTGTTTCGTTTCTACAGCGGATTTAACACGACTTCTCACATTCTTTGTTATGTGATATCTATAAAGTAATGCATTATAAGAAGGAAATACCTTTGCGACCAGATTCATCAATGCGGTATCGCGGTTGGTAACAATCGCTTTAGGCATCTCACATTGGTCCTTCAACAGTGTCCAACACACCTCTAAGGCCCAAGTAAAGTTGTCCTCTTTTTCACACTCAAGAAATACAAAACCAACAAAATATGTCTTCTCAGTTGAGGTAACACCAACCATATCCAATAATAAAAGTCTATACTTGTTAATTTTGTAGGTTGAATCAAGTATGAGTACCGTAAGAAACATGTTGAACAACTTTATAGAACCAGAATAAGTTCAAAATATATCTCTAACAGTAACTCCATCATCGCACGTTTGGTACCTAAACATGTAACTGTTATCATTGAACAATTTTAAGAGTTGTTGTATCTTAGTTCTATCCTCCCTAAGCACCTTGTTAGCGAGGTACCAAATATTATACATTTGCTTGATATTTGATATATTTTCGGGTCATTTTCGTTTCAATGTTGCAAGTATATTTTTCGGTTAAACAAAATTTAAAATCATGTCACCAACACATTCCTTCTCTCCCGGCATAAACTGACACACAAGCTATACAAGCTATCATTCATAAGAACTTTTGAGTCCATTTTATTTGTGCAACAAAGAAAAAATTGAAAAAGGTCTTAGTATTAAAATGTACCCGTCATAATTTTGTTTATAATAAAGTATAATAAAATTTCGAAGTTTGATATTATTGAGTAGGACATAAAAACAACTTTGATTATAATATTGTAATTGTACGCACATCTTCTTTTTCACATTCTTATTTCCAAGACCTCTATTCTCGATCAAATCATAAGATATTATTATTATTATTATTTCATTTGAAGTTATAGCATTGAATTTAATGAGATGAGTGAGGTGTCCGCACCGTATTGTAAAGTCAGAAAAAAAAAAAGTAATTAAGCTTTGAAAATAATTATTGTTTTAAAAACAAATTTCAAAAGAGATGAACCTAAAACAGATAATATTAATGTCACTTATACTTCTTGATTTAAGTTACAGAGGGGGTACTGATACTACATTAATGATGAAAATAGTGAAACTCTATTTTTAAAATATCAAATAAAGTTGACACTGATAAAAAAATTTGTAAAATTTTGTAAAACCAACCGTATGTGAGTATTGATAAGCTGCATAATGATTCTCTTGGATTTTCTTCTTCTCAGAAGAACTTTCTTCATCATCTTTTGATTTGTATAATTAGAATGATTTTTTTTTTCAATTAGTTAATCAAAATAAATATTACATCTAATAAAATTCAAAAATAAATTAAACATTTTATATATCTCCTTAATCACTAGTATCTGGTGGATATGTATGAGTTAAATTCTAAATCATATGAGATATTATATCTAAGATTAAAATTTTCCTTTTTTTTTGAATTTTTTAAAAAATATAATCAAATATTAATATTTAACGATTTTTTTTATAAGAAAAAGTAGTAAAATACAGAAAAGTTCAATGTATAAACGATATCCACTAAATTTTTATTTTATTTTATAATAATCATATATTGAAAAGAAATTACTAAAATAATCATTAATTCAATTTTTTTTTCAAAATGGTTATGTATTCAACAGCAGGTCGCCATTTAGATTGACCAATGAGACCATTTGGAATTTTGGAGAAAGGGAATTCGCCAGGTGAAATGGCGAATGAGGCCATTTGAAATTTTCTCTAAAATATATACTTTGATTAGTTTTTAATAAATATAAATATTTCTTCAAAATTTCAAATGGTCTCATTCGCCATTTCACCTGACGAATTCCCTTTCACCAAAATTCCAAATGGTCTCATTCGCCAATCTGAATGACAATCTGTTGAATACATAGTCATTTTGGAAATTTTTTTGAATTAATGATTATTCTAGTAATTTCTTTTCAATATATAATTATTATAAAAAAAAATTCACTAAAATTCCATGATTATAAAATATATGTTCTTTGATAACCAAAACACATACAATTAAAAAAATAGATACTAAATTTATGTTCTTGGTATTGGGAGCTATAGAAAAATTTAATGGAAAAATATGTGTTAATAAAAATAAAAATAAAAATAGTAAATAAAGAGGTAGGCAAAACTTACATTGATTTGTTGATCGGTAAGTTTCCATGTGCATAATAGTAGATCTATAAGCTGAAAAAAATGTTTGATAATCCTTCAATGTCGAATGGATCCAGACTGAATCGTGAACGAAATCACTTTCCTTAAAAGTATTTCAAGCACACTCTCAAATTGTCTTAGAGTTGGAACGACCTGAATACCCAGGATAAGTCAGCCTTTTCTCGAAACTGCACAAGACTGGTGAAGTTTCGAATGCAAGGAAAATGTTGGAATTATATGGAAGAGGATTTCAGATTTTGGAGTAATGATTTCGAATTATCAATCATATATT